TTGGAATATTTTGGTCAACCTTTTTGAATTTTTCTATGTCAACCGTTTTGATTTCCCGAGCTCTCCCAAATCTTTAGAAAGAGACCCTGATTTACAAAATTTTCTGCGCTGCAAGCAAATTTGTGAAACAAGCCAAAAAAGCGTTTTAGGAACTTTTCGGAAAACTTGCAGGGGCGGATCTAGGATTTTCTCGAGGGGGGGGGGGGCGGATTTTCGAAAAATTTTCCAAAATTTTGACGACCTTTTTTTTTTTTTTAGGTCGACCAAATTGATTTTTTGAGCTCTCCCAAAGCACTGTTTTGCGCCTATTTTGGCAAAGTTTTCTGCGCCGCAGGCAAATTTTTGAAAAAACAGTCAAAAAAGCCGTTTTTGGGCACTTTTTGAAAAATTTTGACAAAAAAATTGCGTTTTTTTTGGCGCGCGCTGCCCCTCAAAGTTAGTATATATTGGCACCGAAGGCGCCTTTAGAAAAATTTTAGGGTCGGTCCGCCAAAAATGGATTTCTGAAAAAATATCAAAGGGGGGACCCTTTGGGTCGGCAGGGGGTCGAATCCCTGAGGGGGGGGGGGCGTCCGCCCCCCCCCCCCCGCCCCCTTCCCCTAAATCCGCCCCTGAAAACTTGCGTTTTTTGGCGCGCATTCCCCCTCAAAATTAGTTCTTGGCGCCAAAGGCGCTTTTAAAAAATTTAGGGTCAGTCAGCCAGTACAATCAGTACAAAGTAGTAAAAAGTGGGAACTTTTTGGGTTAGCAGAGGGTCGCATCCCTAAAGGGGTTAGGGGCGTCCGACTCCCTAAATCCGCTACTGCGCAAATGCACAGGGCAAATAAACTAGCAGGAAGTTGCGCCTCATGAGTGAAATTTGAATTACTTTCGTAACTGTTGCATTATTGCTACCTAAATAGTAACTGCTGCATAATTGCTACCTAAAAACTAAACAAGACTGCTCGTATCAGGGCGAAGCCCTCAATGTTCCGACTGCTTTTTAAGGTTTTATGGAGTAGTAATATCATTAAAAAATAAATGTATAAAAATAAAAAATAAAAATTTTTAAATTTGAATTTTTTTAAATGAAAATCATCTCCCCACACGCCATTTAAAGTACAAAAAGACTGATTTAGCTCCTTGTAACAATTCAATTATCCATAAGCTTCTTTCAACCAATTTGGAACAATTTTAAGACGGATTAACTCTCCGCTTACGCGTTAATAGCGCGAAATATATCGCGCGTTAATTGTCCAAAATTGGCCAAAATGGCAATCTTTAAACCCCCATAACTTTACAAAAAATGATCACAGGTAAAATATCTTTTCAAATTTGAGCTCAAGACAACAATACCTTTTGAATGATAAAAAAAAATTCCGTCAAAAATGGCTAGTCAAAAAGTCGAAATTTGTCTGAAGAAAAAAAAACCCACCCGAGCACAAATATTCCGTTACTTTCGTATCAAAAGTCGGAGCAACAAAACTGCTCGTATTAGAGGGAAGCCCTGAAGGTTTCGACTGTCTCTTAATTCATATCGAATATTTTTTGGGAAAAAGAAAATATTGAAAACCTAAACATTTTAAACAAAATCAAAGTGAAAAATTTTGAACCATACGAAATTATTACGACTAATTAGCTAGCGTCAATTCAATTTGGAACAGTTTTTTTGTGTAGAATAATTCACCATGGATAAGAAATTTGCGTTACGCTCTCAGTATTATGAATAAATTCTTCAAAGCGCAAATAATTAAGTCCAGAACATCGAAAATTTGACAATTTTCAAACCCCCAGAACTTTATAAAAAATAATCGAAGTTGAAAAACTTTTCGAAATTTGAATTGAAAAAGTTAATATCTTCAATGTGGTATAATAAATTTTGGCTGGTTTGTATGGTAGCTGGCTTATTCTTTTGCTGGTTTATACGGGAAAGAGTACTGACCAGACATCAAACCACGATATGTACATAAGTCATGGCAAAGTCGTTATAATCGGGCAAAAAGCTATGATTTATATGGCCTTCTTGATGTTGAACCTAACTAAGTTCAACCTCAAAATTCTCTGTTTCCAAAAATCCATTTCAAATTTTTGCGCCATTTGAAGCCAATAGCCGGGTCGAGGTTTGCTATTTATGGTTCGGTTTGCTTCGACCGTCTGAGAATGTGTCGGAGCAAAAACTTGTTTTTAAAATTAAAATGATTTAAATGTTTGGTTTTTGCTTAAGGTTTGGCGACAAAATGTTAAAATAACAAATCAGATTTTGAAAATTTCATACAAAAAAACTATTCGCTACCGTAACCCCCTTGCATCTCAAAAATGGATGGGAACTTTTCAAGTTCAGGTGTGCGGCAAACAACTCCCCTGGAGTGACTGTTGCAAAAAGCAGCACTCATTAAGCAAAAATTTTTCACTCGAAATTGTTGGAAAAACATCAAAAACTATGTTGTATTTTTTCATAATTTTTTTTTTAAGATTGAAAAGCTATTTTAAAAAATTTTCTAGCTTTTTAATTGATCCGATTTTTTGAAAAACGTGGAGGACTTTGTATTTGGTTGTGTACGCAAAATCAGGTAACACAAAGAATTATTGGAATGGGTCGAGTGAAATACCATAGCAAAGCTTTTTTAGAACTCAATTTTAACATCCAGAAATTTTTCTGTTTTGAGAAAAACCTGTTTGGAACTTTTTGATTTTTGGTATAACTGCAAGCTAATAAGTTGAGGCTAAACATGCTTACAAAAGCTTATTTATGCTTAATTTAACCCGTGAAAATAAAGTTTTACTCGAGTAAAGTTAATTTCGAAGTTTTGAATGCCAATTTGGGAATCAAAAATTTCAAAATTCAAAAGTTTTCTGCAAAAAAGTTTGAGAATTTTTTTGAAAACTTTTTGATTTTTTTAACAATTTTTTTTTCGTTTTTTTAGTCATTTTTCTACAAAAAATGTTTTCCACTTCGTTTTTTTACTATGAATGTGAAAAACCCCTCAATCATGTTTTTTCGTTCAGACTTTTTTATTACAACAGGCAGAAAAAACGACATCAAATTGAGAAATTTTTTTTGTTTCTGAAGAATATGTTTGGAACATTCTGTGCTAACTGCACAATCTTGTGAAATTTGGACTGATCTGTCCAAACTAGGCACAAAAAAGCAGCTCGAATATTTTAAAAAATGAAACATAGTTCTCAATTTTAAAAAATATGTTTAAAAAATTGTTAAAACTTTCCGGACCAGAATTTCAAAGCTTTCAAATATCAAACATAGCCAACATAGATTTGGAAAAGTCGCAATGAAATCACGGAGCCAGAAAAAAAACGAACTTTTCATTTTCGGAGAAATAAAATTAATGCAAGTTACACGGACTGTAGAAATGTCACCCTTATAATGGACTATAGTTACCCTTCAAGATTTTCAAATGAAATTAAATCTATTATATTTCATTTTTTGAACAATTTAAATGATTTACAATCATTTTACAATCAATTAGGATGAATGATATTTTTTAACAAAAGTTTTGCAAGAAATCGCGGTCTATTTTTTTAAAATTTGGTCAGGCTGTGGTACACCTGAAGCTAGAGGTCAAGTGTTAAATAGGTCAGGCTGTGGTAGACCTGAAGCTAGGGGGGTTCAAATGCGCTGAGGGACGTACGCGTAGGAAGGTAAATGAAAGGCATCAAAAGTGAGAAAACTAAAAAAATGTATGTATACTAATTTTGAGGGGGGACCGCACGCTGAAAAACGCAATTTTTTTGGTTAAAATTTTCCAAAAAAGTACGTCAAAACCCCTTTTTGGTCTGTTTTTTTTTTTCAAAAGTTTGTTGCCTGCGGCGCAGAAAATTTGGCCAGTACAGGGTTTTCTTAGTGCTTTGGGAGAGCTCGGAAAATAATTTTGGTCGACCTTAAAAAAGGTCGACAATTTTTTCGAATTTTTTTGCAAAATCGGCCCTCCCCTCTAGAGAAAATCCTAGATCCGCCCCTGTATGAGGGAAATGATTTTGAAAAGATAAAATAGGAAAAAAGATTGATTAGTGTGTGATAATATCTTAAGCATCTTTTTCATAAAGACTGACTATATAACGATAAAATAAACGCCCGTACCCAACGGAAGCTGTTTTTCTAGATAGAAATTCTATGTAGATTATCTGGCCTATAGTTTCTCGTATTTTCCGTGGAGAAGTGATTTATTTCTTTTCTAGCTTAGAAACAAACAGTTTCTGGAAAGAAATAACCAGAAATCCTTTCACTGCTCAACCGCAACGAGATAAACATGCACACAATAGCAGTAGCGAATACAATGCAAACTTACACTTGTTATAACAATGTTGTTCTCCTAAAACTATGTTAATCAATCAAGGGATGTAGTCTAGAGGATAGAGCAAATGTCTAGGAGTCAGAAGGTCAGGGGTTGTAGCCCCACCAGGAGACTTTTTGTAGCTAGAAATAGCCTAGATTTAGCTAATTTCTGATCAGAATTAGGATTAGAAATAAATTGTTCAAAGAAAATCCATGCTTTATTTAAACATTTCAAAAAGAATTTCTGACCAGAAGTTAGATTAGATGCAAAGTATTTCGGCTCTTTTCCAGTTCCCCCCCCCCCCTTTCAAATTCAATACTGAAAAGTCTATTTAACATTGTCATAATGCAATGAAATTTGGCGTGGTGAACAAATCGACAATTCTGAACAGATTTGTTCTTCATACTTTACAGCGTAACATCACGAATTTAGCCGTAATAACACGTAAAACAAACATAAAACTCGGTATTTTGAAGGGGGGAAACTGGAAAAGAGCCAGTATTTCACGTCAGAAATAAAGAATTTTCTCGGTACGGGCGATGATAATATAAATGATAATTCTATCCATGAAACTCTGGTGCGCGTAAAGCTTTTTGAATGCTTGGATTCTTAATGATACACAGGTGTTAAATAAAATTAACCGAATAAGAGACAACTGAATCGTTAGATAACTTCTTTAATTTTGTGTTAAATTCAAAAATTATTAGGTTTTTGAAATTAAAAGTTAATTACGTTTTTTGCACCGTCTTTGTTGAATATAGCGAAATTTGCCTTACTTTGAGCACAATCATTTTTACATTAAATGAATAACCACACAAAAAGTTAACCACGCGACTTAAAAATGATAAATCTTTTCATTCTATAACCCTAAAACGGTGTTGGAGCCATTCAAGTCTTCACACGACGCGATTAGTCTTATGAAATTGAGGAGTTGTTTGCTTAAAGTGGGCTAGGATAGCTCAATGAAAATAACATCGGTATTGTGCACATTGGAAAATTTGAATTGCGAATTTACAAAACGTTACAAAATAATTCTTTTGCAAATTATCATTTTTGAAAAAGAGGGGCAGCTTTTATCCAAATTAGCATAAATTAAGTGGCATCAATTTTGGTATCAGTCTGTCGTTAATTAGTTTTCTTATATAATAACATATTACACCTGCTGAAGGGCCGATTTGGATTGTTACTGTTTTCGATTGTTGCCAACTATTCTCACTGTTAGCTGCTGGGGGCTGGAGAATTGGATGATGTCACTTTCTGACGGGCCGTGACGTCATCGGAATGGAGTTCGGATGACTGATTGAGAAGAAATTGGTTATTGTTGTTGGTATTGTTGTTGTTTGTGGTCCGGATATTGTTGGCACGGGCGTTTCTGGCCTGCAAAACAATTTCAGCTAGATGTTGGATTATTCATTCTGTAGATGTTGATGTTGGTTTCATCCATGTTGGATTTCTTTGTCACTTTCCTTGATGCGTTATTAATTTCAAAGACAAGATACTGAAAGGTCTTCAAACTCAAAAGAAAAAATTTGCCCCTGCCTTAACTTCTCCTTACTATCTACGGTCTTGCTGCCGTGTAGGAGGAGATCGAAGTCGTCCATTTTGCCAGAACCGGTCTTACCTTGAGGAGGCGGATGACACTGGGACCATTCAACCATGAACAAAAATTTGTCGTCTCTGGTAATACATTAAGCTCGATAAAGGTTCTGGGAAAAATTGAAATTTTTTAGCGCGCTTTGAGACTTACTGAGAAAGCCGAATTCCTGGAGGGCACCGATTGAGCCCAATCGCTCGACTGGTCATCCCCACTGCCTCGCTCTCTCTCATTTCCCCCAGTCGCCACTGTGAGAGCCTCGAAGGTTCTCGAATCTGATTGGCTGCCGAGTGAGTTGTCATTGTGCTGTTGGGAACTGAGTGGCTGGTCGAAGTGACTCGACTGTTGGTAGTCGGAAAAGAGCTCGATTGTCGGAGAGACTGTTGACTCACTACTCCCATGTGAGTCACGGTTTCTGTACCACGTAAAAAAGAAGGTTAAAAATTTTTAAAAACACTTTCTTAAAACATTTCTATGCAAATTCTTAGAAAAGTTTCCAAAGAGAAGCCGTCTATAGAAAAACACGATAGAAATTGCTCTTAACATAAATAACCTTTTTGATTGATTCTTGACTATTTCCGGCAAGGGGAGCGTTTGATCAGTTTCTAAGCTGCGATCACATATCATAACGGGCCTCGAACCACTAACCTTCCGCTTAAAGTTAAGCAGGCATTAGTCGTTTCATCTCACCACTTCTGCGAAACTTACCTGTGTTGTGATTCACTGAAGCCTCTGCCTGCTTTCGAGTTTTCCTCCGTAGCCGATCGCTGCTGTGCCTAGAAAAAACATCCAATTCAACTCGAAAAAAAACGTGAAAACGTTGTTTTTTCCAACACACTTTCGTTCGATTAGTTCTCTAAAACGCAAAAGAAACTGTCGAAGAAAGCGAAAGGGAAACAAATGACAAATGAAGAAATTTAGATAATAAAAACGACAAGATAAAAGCGAGGGTGATCGAAGAAAATAATTCAAACTTGAACCAATCATTAAAAATACATATTGGTAAAACCAGGGGCGGACTTAGGAAGGGGGGTTGGCAGACGCCTTTTCCCTCAGGGATGCGACTCAATCGCCAAGCAAAGGGCCGACCCTTTCGTTTTATTTTATGACATCCATTTTCGGCCGACCAACTCTAAAATTTTTCTTTTTCTAGTCAAGAATTTAATCTTATTTTGAAGGAGAGCGCCAGCCGAAATTTGGTCACAATTTTCTAAGAAGTGCTCAAACTAGGGTCTTTATAGTGTTCTGGTAGGGCTCAGTAAATCGAATTTGGTCGACGTAGTAAAAAAAGGTTGACCAAAAAATTGAGTTTTCGCGCGCTCCCCTTCAAAGTTAGTATACTTTGGCGCCCAAGGCGTCCTTCAGAAATATTATGTCAGGGTTTATCGGCCAGAATGGATGTCATAATTAAATACTTTGGTTGGTGACGGAATCGAATCCCTGAGAGAAAGCGTACGCCCCCCCCCCCCCCCCCCCCCCCTAAATCCTACCCTGGCTTATATCGATTTTTCAGGCGTTTTTCCAAAATAGTCGAAAGAGAAACAATGAATCTCACCTTTCATGTTCATCGATTGATGCATAGATTGCTCATATTGACTCCTAGCTGTAAAACAGCATTGAAGCCATTAAGCACTAATTTATTGGAATTGTTCTAAAGTTTGATCCCTTTTGCAACACAATGCTTTCTATTTGGATTTCTATGCACCAAAAAGTTATTCTCTCAATTCATATTGAGAAATGGAGCTATAACTTAGGTTTTTTTCACATGAATACAAAACCTGCCTAATAATTTGATAAGGATTGAATATTGAATCAAACAAATCATAAATTTATTTTTGAAAGTTATTTTTTTGCTGTGAATCGTTCTCCGAAAAATACTCAATTTAGGTCACAATAAAACTAGTCTCAAAACTCAAAGTTTAGCAAATATGCTATCTGATTGATTATCAGCACTTCAGATTGCTTCAGAAAAAAGTGATTGAAAATTTTTGTTTTGCTCGTTTGATCAGAGTGAGATCGCTTTGATTGTTCAACGTTCTGATTCGATTTTTCAACTGGTAGATAAGCAAGAATTCATGAGACTGGACTCAACGTTTAAAACATAATTTTAGAGTGAGCAAGTGGGTTATCATGTGTAAATTGATAAATCGTGAATAGGTTCAAGTTGCAACCTATGCTTCAAAATTTTTACCTGACAGGATGCTATCCCGCTATTTATTAAACTTCAAACAAGTGCTTACTTAAATTTTTTGAGGTAGCAGGTGTTTGGGGGCGTAGAGTTTTTCATCTAAGCCGATTAGCATGCACAATTTGAATAGTTGCTGTTCAATTTACTTTAATGTTGCCTTTGTTTTCAAACGCGAGATTTGCAATTTCAAAAGCGGCAAATGAACAGTGCAAGGGCAAAAAGTCGATGTATCAAAAAACCGAAAATTGAACTAGTATTATCCACGAGACTGCTCGTATCGAGGCGAAGCCTTGAAATTTGCGACTGCCTTTTAAGCTCTATGGAGCTGCAATAACATGAAAAATTTAAATAAAAAAAAAAGAGAATGAAATTTTTTTTTTTAATTTAAATTTTTTTATGAAAATCATCCCCCCAGACGCCATATAAAGTCCAAAAGGAAAGATTTCGTTCCTTGTAACAAATCAGTTATGGCAAATAAGCTTCTTTCAACCAATTTGGAACGATTTCTAACACGGACTAAATCTCGCTTACGCGTTAATAGCGCGAAATATATCGCGCGTTAATTGTCCCAAATTGGCCAAAATGGCCAAAATAGCAATTTTTAAAAACCCATAACTATACGAAAAATGATCACAGGTGAAATACTTTTTCAAATTTAAGCTTAGGACAGCAATAACTTTTGAATGATGAAAAAAATTTTGTCAAAAATGGCTAGTTTAAAAGTCGAAATTTGTCTGAAGAAAAAAACCCACACCAGCACAAATATTCCGCTACTTTCGTTACGAAAGTCGGAACAATAATGCCAGTTCTTATATTAGATTCTAAGAGATTATAAGAGATTTTCGGTAAAATTATAATCAATTATAATTGATTACAAGACTGCTCGTATCAGGGCGAAGCCCTGAATGTTCCGACTGCCTATTAAGGTTTATGGAGCAGTAATAACATTAAAAAATTTTTTAAAAAAATAAAACTAAATGAAAATTTTTTTTTCTTAAATTTGAATTTTTTAATGAAAATCATCCCCCCATACGCCATATAAAGTACAAAAGGATAGATTTCGTTCCTTGTAACAAATCAGTTATGGCAAATAAGCTTCGTCAAACCAATTTGGAACGATTTCTAAGACGGATTAAATCTCGCTTACGCGTTAATAGCGCGAAATTTATCGCAAGTTAATTGTCCCAAATTGGCCAAAATGGCAATCTTTAAACACCCATAATTTTACAAAAAATGATGAAGAAGGTGAAATATCTTTTCAAATTTGAGCTCAGGACAACATTACCTTTCGAATGATATAAACAAATTCCGTCAAAAATGGCTAGTTAAAAAGTCGAAGTTTGTCTGAAGAAAAAAAAACCCACCCCGAGCACAAATATTCCGTTACTTTCGTATCGAAAGTCGGAACAAAAGTTCATTAAAATGTCAACAAAAATGTAATGGATTATAAATCGTTCAACATCTAAAATTGGCGCTTATAATTATTTATAACTTTGCTAGAAGTATACCTTGGTTCAAAAAAAATGGCCGCGGCAATATTTTTGAAAAATGCGTATAGCTCGAAAGCGGCAAATTTTGGCAAAATGTGGCAAAAATAAAAAAGAAAGAAGTTGAACAGACTTTGTCGCCGTGTGAATCAATTGACAGGTACTTAGCTAATGAAAATGCTACACATCATTCTTCAACACAAAATTTTGAAATGCAAGCGAAACGCGATTTACTTGAATTTCTCTATGTCAACGACTCCAAACAACGTGAATATCTGTCGAAACGGGTGAAAATGCCACCGCGTAGTTTCCGACGTAACATAAAAATCTTGGAAGAAAAGGGAACCTTGGAAAGAAAGAAAGGAAGCGGCCGACCTCTCCAAATTTCTGGCAATGAGAAAAAACGCTTATGTCAAATTGCGCTTAAATCTCCGTCGGCATCAACTCAAAATGTCTGTGATCGTTATAACGAGTTAGCTAGGACATCCGTCAGTAAATCCACAGTTTTCCGAGCTCTGAAATCGTCCGGCGTGCAGAAAAAGACTGCAAAAATCATCCCGAATATCACACCGGTCCATGAGCAAAAAAGAATCGAATTTTGCAGAACATGGAAGAACTTCAATTTCGGAGAAACCTGGCTTTCTGACGAGTGCATGTTCCAACTTCATCGGAATAAAATCAAGCTTTGGAGTTCTTATCGAAAAACGCCGCGAAAAGGTTTCCCGAAGTTTTCACCCAAAATTGTGGTCTGGGGAGCAATATCGAGTAAAGGTTTTTACATGAAAATCATCGAAAGAGGTACAATTGATAGTTCCAAGTACTGCGAAATTGTTGGTGACTTTATTCCTTACGCCACTGCATTATTTCCCGATGGCTGGATACTAGAGCAGGACGGCGCCACACCCCATACTTCCCGACAAACTAAAGATTTTTTTGCCGAAAATTCGGTACAATTTTTGCAGTGGCCACCCAATTCTCCAGACATTAATCCAGTGGAAAATGTGTGGATGATGCTTAAATCCTTTGTTGAGAAGAAAAATCCGAAAACAAAAGACGAACTAATTCAGTATGTTCAAGAATCTCAACATGTAATTTTGCCAGCGGTAAGAAAAAATTTGATGGGTTCTATCCCGACGCGTTTGGGCCAGTGTCTTGAAAACGAAGGAAAATTTGTGGAGAAATGGACTGGGACTGAATAGGCAAGACAAAGACGCAACAGACTCATATTTTCTTATATTATTTTGTTTGCTCAATGCTTAGAAAAATCTATTATTTCAGCGGCCACTTTTTTTGAACCAAGGTATACAATTATAATTATATTATAATCGATTAATTTCTCTTTTTACTGAGTGCTGGTGATTATTTTTTACAGTGATCACTTTTAACACCAATTAGTGTTTAGTGCAAGCCATTGTAGGTTGGCATTATTAATTACAAAGATTGTTGCTTCACTTATCTAACCCCTTAAGTGAACTACCGTAGAATGTCCTCCCCAAGAATGTATTAATCCTGAAAATTAGTTATCTTAAAATCTGCATTTTGAACAAAACGTACAAAAAATTTGATTCCACAATATTTTTGTGGGATTGCATTCGAATGCTGTTACTCAACTAAATTAATGTATATTTAATCAATTTTTTCTATTGAAACTTTTAATTTTGCATAAGCCTGGGTATTCATATTTTAACCCCCTTAATCAATTTTGGGGTATATAAATGGCTGTGGTCTGGCATGGAAGAATCTTTGTCATACCCGTCTACCGAGTCCACCTTTTATGCTGAGATCATTTCAGTCGTAACTCCGATTTCTAATGCTATTTCAAAAATTTTTAAATCCTTGTCAGGATAAATTTGGTGAAAATTTTGAGATTTTCAGACTCAATTACAATGTGTTAGCTTTAATTTATAGCTGAGCTCACGCAAAATTGGACAAAGCTTGGCTCTGTACAAAAACTTCGTGAAAACCAGTTAGGCAACCATTGGAAATTCTAAAAAAAAGTGTGATACTGCTCAGAAATTTGATAACTTAAAATTGTCAAATTGGTAAGGGAAAAGCGCATGCACATAAAAAATAAAGTGAAAGTTACCGTTGTTTTTCGGATAGTTTTAGCCGCATATATTGATGGCCTTGAGTCACCCCCACAATTAGCACCACTCTGGTTCAACCCCACTACCCCTCCTGGGCTGACAAATCCCCGCAGGGTAGTGTTGTGGTCTGTCTGCTGTCGCTTGCTGTTTGTGACCCTGTTGCTGACCGGATGGGGGTAGGGACTGCGGATGATTGGCGGGGGAGGGGGAGGTGAGACGCTGTTGTTGCTCACTTCGGGTAGTTCCTCGTACGTTCCTTCGAAGGAATTCTGAAGTTACGGTACATTCATAAAATCTTTCTTATATTTTGCGCCTGGTGTTTCTATTTTGAGACAGGAAGTTCCAGACTGAAGTTTCAAAAAATCAAACTAACTTAGGTACGAAGATGAAAAGGGCAATGCACTCAAGTATGTTAATATGATTTATCCACAAGGGATTGGACAAACATACGAGCTGTTCAGCTCTTCGCGGAGAACAGCTACTGCACCCCTTACGAATTACGAATTACATGCAATTTCTATAGTATTTTTTTTTACAAAAGTATACAATCAATAATTCCATAATACACAACAAAAAATAATGAAACTTCCTTTTAGGCTTCAGATTTTAAAAAGAGCAAAAACGTAACAGGAGATATGAAAACTCGCTGAAATAGACTAACCCGATGATATGGTGCATATAAATGGCTGTGGTCTGGCATGGAAGAATCTTTGTCATACCCGTCTACCGAGTCCAACTGGGAGAACCCAGTCCCATTTATGGTACCCGTCTGGTGATGGGGAAGGTAACTGCCACTTCGACTTGTCATCTGGGACGACGTCGTCTGCTGTTGCGATGTCACTTGGGCCTCGAGAAGTCGGATTCTCTCATCTTTTGAAGTTAAGCACTCTTCGAGTCGTTGCTTCTCGCACTCTAGTATCTTAATGTGGTCTTCGCGAAGTTCAATTTCCTCGCATAGGTTGTTTGGAAGCACGGAAGGGGACACTTTAGCTGTGGATTTGAGGCGTCCCGCCTGTGCAGTGGTTCCACTGGATGCCTTGACAGTTGGTCGAGAGTAGCTCGATGACGTAATCGTACTTGATGATCTGAGGGGATTTAGAGGTTCCGGACCTTGTATGCTAGCATAGTCTTTTGGAGTATGATTCGTTGAGCTAATACCACTGTCGCTTTCGCTACCTGTTGTTGTTGGTGCTGCACCAACTAAAGGGTTTCTGTTGCTATGTATACTAACATGCTGAGAGGTAAAAGGACCGTTATGCATTCTGATATGGTGGTCTACACGCGTGTTTCTCGGCACATGATGCCGCGTATTTTGATGATGTTTCATGATCAATCTGTCCATACTATGGTCTCGTTTGTGTTTGCGTGGCATTGTATTGCTATCGGAGGAACCATGTCTAGAGTTGTGTTGCTCACCGTTGTCTACAGTCAAGGTTTGTTCAGTTCTCGAGGTGCTTGAGTCCCGGCTTCGCGATCCGCGTGCACTGACGTTCAGTGGGTTACCTGAAATGGGTCCAACTCGTTCGCGTAATCTGGCAAGTTCGGCTTCGAGCTCTCGGATTTCTCGTTCTTTTGACTCGAGTGCTCGTTGGGTTAGGAGTGAAGTTCCCGTCGGCGACGCTTGGTTACTTCGGCGATGATGGGTTGTCGTTGACGAAGAGCCTTGCTTGGGATCTAGCGCGGCAGCGATTGAAGTTCGCGCGTTAGAGGGTGGATTGAACGGCTTCAAGGTTGATGCGCTTGAAGGCTTAGATGTGACGTTTTTGGCCACTTCTAGAGCATGATATGGCGTTCGGTAGCAAGGTGATGAATCATCGGCATTATCAGAGCCGGTTGCGCTTCTCGGCGATGCCCGACTCCTAGACGAAGAGTTCATTCCCGAAGGCCGGTTGTAATCCGAGGGATGCGTAGGCGCTTGTTCTAGAATGTTCTCAGAACTGTTGACAAAGAATTTTGTTTTCCAATTCCGTTCTTGTTGTTCAAGTAGCACCTGCATATCTCGTTTGGAAGCAGCAATTTCACTTCTTTTCATAGTTTCTAATTTTTTCAGTTCTTCTTTCAGCTCCAATATTTGCTTGTCCTTTTCCAGCCTGACTTTTCGAAGTTCAGTCTCGAGTAAAATAATTTCGCGATCTTTTGCGTCTTTGACCTAAAATTAAGTCTATAGAATTTCTAACGATTCCGACTAGCGAGTCTTAAATATTAAGGACCTGAAACTTTTTCTGGAGGAGGAGGACCTATTCATGAAGATAAAATACAACCCATTTTTTCACCTATAAAATGTACTCTAGATAATATCACTAGAAATTCCAAAATGTCGAAGCTCTGAATTAAAAAACTACAAAATATTTACTTCAGACAACATCACAGAGTTTTCTTGAAACATGACCATGCATTGCCTACTATCTCAGGAGCAGTTGTCAAACTTAGTTGATTAAAATGAACACTGACTATTTGTTGATTTTTTAAACTTATATAGAGCTTTTAGGAAATATTTTGAACTCTTAGTTGAACCTTGGGAAAAGTAGTCAAAGCACAATTTAGGCATCCCAGAGGGAAAATATTGTCCATTTGCGAAGATAGATATCATCAGATAAGCATCTCAATTGCAAGAGTGTGATAACAGACTTTAATATTTTTAGCTGTGCGCCTAACTAAGCAACAAGAAATAGAAAAGGCTGCTTTATAATCATTAATTCTGAAAACTATTGAGTAGTTTTGTACTGTTGAGTACAAAAATTTAATGTTCACAAGGGTCTAAAAAATTAAATCTACTGATGGTACTGATGTTTTTTTTTGAGTTGGTCGATATTACGAGATTATTTGATTTTACATTCTTAGGGGAAAATCATTTGGTAAGCTTTGCTCTAAATATGTTTTTACCTTTCGAACGTGCTCTCTGTACCAATCCAGTTCCTCTTCCTGTGCGTGTGATCCCCCTGCTGGAACAGCAGAAGATGAAGAGGGGGTGGGGGCTCCTCCGAGGTCATGGGGAGGGGCAATGACAGGGGTCCTGACATGGGAGGAGTTCGTTTTGGAGTCCATAAGACGCCGGTTGTCGTCCCGAAGCATTCTCAGTTCTTCTTTCAAGGTCTCGATTTCTACATTGCGATCTCTTTTCACCTTGTCCAACTCACCTAAATATTTAAACGTTTAATTAAATTCGCAATTTTAAGCAAAATCGTATGATAATCGAGTTTTATATATTTTTAAGGTTTGATCTGCAGGCTGAAAAGGCTCTAACCCATGACTTGTAATCAAAAGTTCGGTGGATGGAGACAAACCATGATCCTTGCTCATTTCATTAAGGGCGAGGCAACATTATCAAACCCAGAAAAATAACCTAAAAAGATTAGAGGTCTTAATTAAGGGATGCAACAGCGGTTCTCCTTAAATAGTTCAACAGGCTCCGCATGTTACTCCTTTGTCCTTTCCCTTATGGGTAAATTGTGTTAAAGTAACTTGACTATAAGGCTGTGACAACTGACAGAAAAGAAGACAATAAACAGATAAAAAGTGAAAGGATCCTTACATTTTAGTAGCTTCAAAATAGATTAGGCAAGCTTTTAAACCAAATTTTGGTTATCTGTTGTTTTTAAAGACGGTTAAATTGAATTTGGAAGGGGAAGTTTTTTATGAACAAAAATATTGGCAAAAACATGACTAGACTTTGACCTCTCATTTTTCATTGCGAATCCGTTATAGTGACACTTTCCATATTGTGGTGTGTCATAATTAAAACAACAAGACCACTTTGATTCCACTTTGATTTTGTCATAAAGCTACAATTCAGAACGAGCAGCCCTCTCTCATTCTCCATAAATGTGCCTCGTTAGTGGTAGGAAGCAATGGGAGTTGGCGCCAAAAGTGCAATTGTAAAATGAGCGTGAACAGATCAAACCAGCCGAAAGTTTAACGAACCGAAAATAAGCAGAGTTTACAAAACAGCCGAATTTTGAGTCATTTCAGTTCAAGCTTGCTTTATTATTGTAACTGTTAGTTTAATAATTATAATAATTTCTATTTAACTCTTATTTTTTGCGACTGGCTCATAGGGTACCTGGCTTACACTTTGGGTGGTTTATACACCAGCTATAAAACATTCCCCAATATTCGCACCCATCTAGCTTTGATTAAGAGCAGGGAGCAAAAAAGTGAGAGGGATCATCTTGAATACAGATGAGCCCCTTTTATATATAGAGGACACAGGCATCAATAAAGGTTTTGGATTTTTAAATAAAATAGGACACTTGTTAATAACCAGGGCATCTTTTAGCAGAAAGACTTCTTCAGCTTTGGTTAAACTAAAAATTAAGCTGATTGTAAAACGTAAATGAAAATGTTCTAAGATACCAAATCTCAAAAAATGAAACGACATGTATTGGTTGCGTTCGTCACAGGCAGAGGCGGAATCACTCGGAGTCAGATATTATTATAGGTGAACCTAGAATGGCCTGAAGGGTGAGAGGCTTATTGACTTTTTTCAATAAGTGGACGACTTATTCTTTCATCTTTCATTTCGCCGACAAATTAGGTTATCGAGCTCTTTTGGCACCCTTAAGATACCAAAACCACAAATTATCTTTTTGATAAATGTTTTTGAGAAAGTACGTATCTGTCAATGAGTTTTTGGGCTAGTTTTTTCTGTCAAAGTGTACTACGAAATATGGCAAAACTAGTGAAACAAAAGTTCAATTCAATAGTTTTCTAGAAACTTTTATTTCGATATATCAAGAAAATTATCAGAAAAAAAACGCTTTTTTTGTTGAAATTTTTCCGAAAAGAGACGAAATTAGAGTAGTCTTCATTGACTCCAATGCACAGTAAGCTTCCGAAGGTTCGATTTTTAAAGAGCAGCAAAAATGGTTCTCCACATAATTTTTTACAATACATTGTAGCTTAAAAGCATGCAGAGTTTTCCGAAAAATTACAACTTTTGTTTTGACCACTTCACAAAGTGCCGGAAAAAACTATGGCGTAAGGTTTTTTAAGTATTTTATTCCCAAATTTGACTCCCGAAGAAAAGCAAGTCACCAAATTTAACTTTACCGCAAGTTCTACTGCAATTTTATGTAGTTTTCCTTCTGAGTTTTTTACCAAGTTTATTAAACCCTTTCCAAAACAATTTAGCAAAGACTGCTGAAGAAAATTGAATTTTTTTGCTTATTTTTGAACTTCTAATAGAAAACATGTTGGTTGGAAAACTCTGAACTATTCTCACAACAACCAGATATTCTTGTTTAACATGTCTTTTCTGATTTGTAATTTTGAACTTTTCGTGTTTTTCTAATATTTGTGCAAAAAAATGCAAAGAAAAAAGTTTTTTTCTCTAAGATTATCAAGTGAAATATTTGAAAGAAACAAAGTTGATTTTTTGCTCAAATATTTATGCTTGCCTTCTCCAAGCAAATTCACGTTCCACAAGCAAAAATCAATTCGGGTATGTTTTATGTCAACGTCAAATCTTACCGGCCGCAAAAAACATCTAAATAAAAATTTGAGCGTTTTGTTACTGAACGCAAGCAAGGAGAAAACATTTAGTTTATATTTTAATCAATCGTAGAAACTGTTTTGTTTTGAATTTTTCATTTGACCTTAAAATTGAAAATGCCTGGATTTGTTTTCGTAAAAATTCATAAAATGGAAGCAAGCACACTCTTATGAAGATTAAGCCCTAATTATTCTGCTTACCTAACTGGCTTCTTTTAGAAGCTTTGAAAGACATTTTTCTTAATGGAGGACATTTTAAATCTTGGGGTGCTTTTTTATGCCTAGGTCTAAAAGATATTGTGTTCCTGAGATTAAATAAAAAACAAGATCACCTGTAATCATTTTTTGCAAAGTTATAGGGGTTTAAAAAATGCTAATTTTGCTAATTTGGCATAATTAGCGCGCGACATATTGCGTACTTGAAACACGCGTAAGCGGTGGATTACTGCGCTCTAAATTGAAATTTGGAACGCAATTTGGAAATTTTTTTTCTTCAGTCAAATTTTGACTTTTTACTCAGCCAATTTTGACCAAAATTTTTAATATCAATCAAAGATAATTGTTGTCCTGAGCTTAAATTTGAAAAGATATTTCACCTGTGATCTTTTTTTGGAAGGTTTTGGCAAAAGCCGAAAAATTACTCTTAATTTAATTCAGTTGGATGTATAAAAAAAAACATTAAACAAAACTCTGTTACAATTAATAATATCTAATATGGACTGAAAGAGTGCTTAGTAGCAGCATTTAAAACGCAATACTAGCACCAGGGGCGGATTTAGGGGGGGGGGTTTGGACACCCTTTCCCTCCCTCGGGGATTCGAGCCCTTAATGACCCAAGGGGTCCCTCCTTTGAACTACTTTCAGATATCCAATTTTGGTTGATGGACCTTAAAATTATTCTAAAGGCGCCTTGGGCGCCAATATATACTTAAATTAAGGGGGAGTGCCAGCCGAAAAAACGCGACTTTTTGGTAAACATTTTCCAAAAAGTGCTCAACAACGCCTTTGTGGCCTCTTTTTTTTCAATGTTTTTTGTGATTTGGGAGAGCTCGAAAACCAATTTGGTCGACCTAAAAAAAAGTCGACAAAATCCGCCCCTCCCCCTCGAGAAAATCCTACATCCGCCCCTGACTAGCACTATTTAAAAACTACTATTAAAAAGCAGTAACTCTGAGTTTTTGGGGCTCTTTTTCCTCCCCCCCCCCCCCCCCCCCCCCCCCCCCACATGGAAAATTTTACTAGTGAAACTTTGTTCACGTTATCCGAATGTTACGAAAAGTGGCATGCGAACTATTTAGGCCATTAAAAACATATTTGGTCTCCATGATTAACCTTGTAAAACCCCTCATAACACCATAAAATTGACGCTTATGTGAGGTGGGGCGGAAAAGGAAAAAGAGCCATTTTTGGTAATGCCTTGATGAGAGCGGGTATCCATTTTTTTGCAGCTTCAGTATCCAGTTATCGAGTTTTAGTATCAATGCCTGCGTGCGACTCAAAAAATGCGAGGGGGAGGGCTTCAAAAGTTGGTCGCATGCGTATCTTGTGTAAGAGCCAAGAGCGTATTGCATAAATCGTTTGTAATAACGTACCTCGAGCAGTGGTGTAGCAATAAACCTGATTGAGGTATCCAAATAAAAACTTCGGAATAAGAATAAATTAAGGTAAGGAAACACCGTTCGCAGAATCATATGCTACTTCTTCACTTAGAGCTTTAATTATTAATAATCATTTAGAGGCAATTTATTCTAATTGGTAACTGCAGTTTAGACATTAGATTGCTAACCATATAGGAAGAAGTCGTTAAAAATCCAGCTTAAGATTTGCAGTTGTTGAAATAATGAAGCATTAAAACCGAGTAGGGTAGATAGAGGAAGACGAGAGAAGAGACGGAGAGAGTAATCATGGGTGTGAGTGACAGGGGGTGCAGCTGGTAAACGGCAGAGATATTTATGGGCGGAGTGACAGTCTAAATTGGGATTAATCATCGCACCAACGCAGTCGCAGCTTACCCTCACTAGTAATAAAAAGGGGAGTCCAATGGGTCAAACTATACAAAGGGCTGAACAAAAGACCCCACGTGAACGACATTATCTTTTTCTAATGGACTAGATTTAGCTACCAATCTCGCTGCAATCAATTAGCAGCCCAGAGGTTGCGAATTGAACACGTTGACAAATAATTAGTCATTATAAACCTATTTTGTATCATAAAGGGTTCTATAAACTTTGTTTTTACTAAAAGCACATCTAGGGTTTTTGGAAAATGGAGCGCGTTTTCATTTTTTTTTTCAAAAAATGCCGGTTTTTTAAGTCATCACCCCCTAAATACCAAGTGAGCAATCCCCTCCATAAAACTAAATGGCAAATCGCGAGACCTGCATGTACTATGCTCAAACCTGACTGGCTGAAAAATATTACTTTTAACCAAGTGAAGAATCTCCGTCTAAATTGATTCAGGGGGAGATTATTCACTTGTCCGAACCCATGTCAAAAAAGCCAGAATGATCGCCTAGGCAAAACAATACGGTTTCATGTAATAAACTTTTTTAGATTGTTCTGTATTGCGAATAGAATATATGGCAGTACCAGTAAGTTTGGAAGTAGAAATTAAATCGTCTCATCTAAAAAGTCTCAACTTTCCAAGA